TCTCTCTCTCTCTCTCTCTCTCTCTCTCTTTCTTGGGTCCTTTTTTTTTTCTTTTTTTTTTTGCGCACATAGCGCACCTCCCTCAGCGCGCGCCTTGCGCACTGCGCACAGTGCGCGTGCTGTCATTCGAGCGCACAGCGCAGTGCGAACCCCCCGCACCGCACTGCGAACTTGTGTGCCGCAACTATGGTACGGAGCTTCGGGCACATCAGTAAAGATCAACCCAGCGATGGTAATGTTGAGATGTCCTAGTTTGGCCAGCCTGTAGTGGTTTGGGCCCTAAAGACTGGATAGCACATAAATGATTCCACCTTCTGAATCTGGTTCTGGTGAATGGTCAACGGGATCATGGCTCTCTCTGCACAGGTGATTCTGGAACATGGTGGTTCCGGAGCTCGTCCTGGACCTTGTTCCCTTGTTCTGCACCAGATTCTGGACCTGGTTCTGGAACTGGCTCTGGAACTGGTTCTGGACCTGGTTCTGGACCGGAACTGGTTTGGAACTGGTTTGGAACTGGCTCTGGAGCTGGTTCTGGGCCTGGTTTTGGAAATTGGGTTTGAACTGGTTCTGAACCTGGTTCTGCTGTACCTGGTTTGTGGAACTGGTTATGAACCTGGTCCTGGACCTGGTTGTGGAACTCGTTCCAGAGCTTGTTCCAGAGCTGCAGAGATCGTTCTGAGCTTGTTCTGGGGCTTGTTCTGGAGCTGCGGATCTGGTTCTGGAGCTTGTTTGAGAGCTGGTTCGAGATCTGGGTCCGAGCTGGTTCTAACCTGGTTGTGGACCTGGTTGTGGACGTGGTTGTGGACGTGGTTGTGGACGTGGTTGTGGACGTGGTTGTGGACCTGGTTTCGAACTTGGTTCCAGAGCTGCAGAACCTGGCTCTGGACCTGGTTGTGGAACTGGTTCCGAACCTGGTTCCAGAGCTGCAGAGCGCGTTGTGAGCTTGTTTTGGAGCCGGTTGCAAAGGTTGTTTTGGGGCTTGTTGTGGACCTGCAGAGCTGGTTACGGAGCTCATTCTGGAGCTTGTTTGAGAGCTGGTTCGAGATCTGGGTCCGAGCTGGTTCTAACCTGGTTCCGGAGCTGGGTCTGGAGATGGCTCCGTAGCTGGTTCAGGAGCTGGTTCAGGAGCTGGTTCAGAGGTTGTTGCAAGGTGGTTCTGAACCATGGGGTTCTAACCTGGTTCCGGAGCTGGGTCTGGAGATGGGTCCGTAGCTGGTTCAGGAGCTGGTTCAGAGGTTGTTCCAAGGTGGTTCTGAACCATGGTTTTGTTGTGGCATGATTTATGACCTATGGTTTGTTTGACCAAGATGCTTTCGAGCTGTGCAGGTGGGTTGAGAGACGGTTAACGGGGAACCAAATATTCGCCGTTTTTGTTGGCAATTGCGGTGCGAATTCCATCAAAAAAAATTAAAACAAACGATATGAGACCATAGTGCAAACATCAAAAAAGGAAACAGACCAAAAAGAACGGAAAAAAAAACAAAAAAACACTATGAAACCCTAACACAAAGACACTGTCCGAGTCAAAATGAAGCGTTCATCGAATTCAACAAAATGCCTTGAATACGAAGTTACGAAGCTGAAAAATCGGCTTGCTGATGGAGGTGTGATGTATGAGTGCAATCTCCTGTGTACTTTTTGTGTTGAATGGTTGGAATCAGAGTCGCTTGCTTATGTACTGAGCACTAGCCTAGCTTCATTACCAGATTGGTCCGTCTGTTGTTGGATGGATGTTGCGTGTGCAGTCGTCCTCACTGTCGAAGAGAAGCTTGGTGATTTCTTTGGAGTCTACGATTCAAAGTATCAGTGGGCAGTTAATGACTACTACCTCCAGCAACTGAAGGTTTGTCGGAACTTTGTCCCCATCCGACTTGCCCCCCATGCAGCTGTAGCTCCTGCCTGGGCTATCTCATTGCCCTTATCACCCACTCTGTTGGAATCCTAGAGTGGAAGGCTCTTCTTGCTCTCTCCCTGTCTTCACCAGAGAAGGGGAATTTGGCCATTTGTTTGTTTGTTTGTTTGTTTGTTTGTTTGTTTGTTTGTTTGTTTGTTTGTTTGTTTGTTTGTTTGTTTGTTTGTTTGTTTGCCCTGTCTAAACGTCCATGCTGTCCATCCCGGGCATCTGGTCCATTCCCGTTCATCCTGTCTATCCCTCTGTCCCCTCGTTTGTCCCGTCGGTCCGCTCTGTCCCGTTCGTCCTTTGCATCCAGTCCATTGGGCCCGTCTGTCCCTTCTCATCCAGTTTGACCCGTTCGCCCTGTTTGCCCCATCGATCCGTCTATCGCTCCTGCCCCTGCATTTGTTCCCGTCTATCGCTCCTGCCCCTGCATTTGTTCCCGTCTATCGCTCCTGCCCCTGCATTTGTTCCCGTCTATCGCTCCTGCCCCTGCATTTGTTCCCACCCACCCAATTTGTTCATCTACCCATTTACCCTTTTTTTTTTTTTTTTTTTCGTTTAACAGGCCCTTTACAGCCCATCTGTGCATTGTTTGTTTGGTCATTTGGTTGTTTGTTCGTTTGCCTGTGTCTGTTTGTTTACTTATTCGCCTGCTCGTCCCCTTCGATTGGTTCGTTCGTTGGTTGAGTTAAGAGAGAAGCCTTCAACAGTGATAGATCTAGCTACGTTGATGTTGAAACTCTTCATCTCGTTAGTTAACATGAATGCCTGTATGTCCCGCAGATAAATTGCAGTCCTTTCTTTTTTTTTTTCCCTTTTTTTAATTACTTTATGTTTTTCTTTTTCTATAGAAGAAATGTAGCGCGTCTGGCTCTGGCTCCTTCCATTATGGGGAGCTGCAGTCCGGTTCCTATCCCCCCCCGGCAAGTCGTAGAAAGTACAACATACGCACGCTCCTCCCGAGTGGACAGCATTTTTGATGACTCCCCTTAGAAAGGATGCACCACCCCTCACCCCTGCCTAAGTTAGACTCCGTACTTAACTCTAGACCAAGTTGCTGACTCTGTCATTTTTGATGACTCCCCTTTTTGTTTTGTTGTCCTTTGGAACGTCCGTTAGAATTGGAATGATACAGAGAATGAAGATTAGCAGGGCCCAAAAAAAAAAAGGAAAAAAAAAGGAAGAAGAAGAAACATTAGTAGATTAGCAGGGCCCCTGCCCAACGATGACACACGTAAATCGAAGATTTGGCGAAGATCAAGTGTAGTATCTGTTCTTCTGATCAGTTTCCTCTCTGGTCGCTGGTCCATCGGGCCCCAACGATATTTTATAGGGAAAAAAAGAACTTCCGGAAATTGCGGTCCTTAATGTCAACAATCTTTTCCTTGCCCATCACCTATGCAATGATCTGTAGTGGCTGGTCGGGATCGACCTGAAATTTCTGTTGAAAAAACTTGATTTTGCCAGGAGGGGGGGGGAACAACATTAACTGGTATTTTTGCTGCCATTGCGAGTACAACAATACTCTGTAGAGTCTGTAGTACTCTGTACTATATCTGTCTCTTATACACATCTAGATGTGTATAAGAGACAGGTAGTACTCTGTACTATATAAGAACACTGCGACCACCAGTACGGCTGCTGCTGCTGTTGCAGAAGTGGTTATTTGCTGCCATCTTTTTTTCTTTTTTTCTTTTTTTTTGCTGCCATCTTTGATAACTCGTACTTGTAAAAATACCCTTGGCATCCTTCCCTGACAATGGTATCCCCCCACCCCCCCCCCCCCTCTTCCTCTCGAGCAGCAAAACTACCAAATTCTTGCTGTCGTTATTCTGAACCAAGTTGCTTGTCATTGGTTGTGCTGATGGGGTGAACAGATCGCTGAAAAACGGAGGATTTCTCAGGAGGTAGATCAGCAGAAAATATCGACCATGGAAAATGGGATGTGTCCTGTGAAGGAGCAGCGGATGGAAATGCAGTCCGGAAGAGACGGCCGCGTTATCTTCCCAAAGACCTGAAATGCACTGTAGGTAACCACGAAAGGAATGTCCTCCTAGGCGTGTACAGACAGTGGGAAGACATTTCTGTCCTTGCTGTGTCAAAGCGCGCACGCGACTGCATGCATGCAAGCTTGATATTCGGCGGTCCATGATGTCATTTGGAGGAAGCAGGAGCTGTGTCTATCTGTTACTTAGCCGGCGATCGTGAGTATGCGATATAGTCTCTCTGTGCGAGAGGTACGAGTCAGTACGGTCATCTCCGTCAGGTCAACGGTGGAGGTGAGTTTGAGGATCAATGTGGGTTGTGAACTACCGTCTTCACCCGAATAGAACACCCGGTCATTATCGCTGCATCTGGACCGACAGTTGTGTCAAATACAGCTATAATGACCGGGCGTTCTCGGGTGAAGACGGTAGGGAGAAGTGTGGAGTGTGTCTTTTCCCCCTGACGAAGACCATGTGGTGGCGGTTGAAACCGGCCGGGGTGCCACTACCCGCGGGCTGTGTGCAATCATTGTACATGTTGTATTCGCTATAATTGTGTACTCGACGAGAGTAATACTTGTGCTTCTCTTGTGTGATGTGCATGTATCTCACCAATCAATGGTTCAACCTGAAGTTTTCTCTTTGTCTTCGTCTCTTCGTTTTTCCTTGGTTCCTTCCGTCACTTGTTATCTGATTGAATTCTTCCATTTTTTGTCCTTTACTCTCTGTTCTTTGCGTGCCGAGCTTCCATCTGTAATTCTCTCCTCTTCCTCTTCTTCCCATCTCTCGTTATTTATCATGCGTTTCTCTGCACTTAAGAGGACACTGTCATTTCTGTTCTGTCCTTCTGTTCATCTCGTGTTCGGTTCGTTTCTGCTTTCACTTCAGATGTTCCAAGAGCGCTTAAGAGCGCACTGTCATTTCTGTTTTGTTTACTGCTATGGCTAGGCAACGCGTGTGAAACCGGCAATTAGGGTTTAGGGTTTAGACTCTTAGAGTTCATATTTTGAAGGCTTAATGGTTAAGAATTGCGACAGGTGTGCCAAGGAGAAGGGGGGAGAGAGAGAGAGAGAGAGAGAGAGAGAGAGAGAGAGAGAGAGAGAGAGAGAGAGAGAGAGAGAGAGAGAGAGAGA